TGAAAACTTAGTCACATTACAAAGAGCCTGGATTGATTGAGTCTCTTTATGTTATAGGAGACAGAAAATCCAGGGCAAACTGATTTGCACAACAAAGGGAAGAAAACTGCAGACTCTTGTCATTAAAAAATGCCACAGGTGGAGCCAGGTGGGGCTGGATCCAGCAGCTCACACTGTCTCTACTGTGGCAGCTGCCTGGGAGCCCAGTCCTAGCTCTGCCCTCTCGCCGGGGTCCCTCGATAACTGGAGTACTTCCCACCTCGCACCCCGCACCCCTAGCCCCGCCTTCGGGAGAAAAGAGCGTTCCTCCCCAGGTAGAGCTGAGGCTGGCGTGCCTGCACTGACCCTTGCCACTCCCTCCTGGTGGCCCGGTGGCAGGGCACGCTGATTCCTTGGATCAGTCTGGCTCCTCCTTGGTGTGGGAGGGAGTCAGTCCCCCTGTACTCATGGCTGAGAAAAGAAAAGGCGTGACTGCCCTAAAGGAAAGCCAAGTGGTCTCCTTGAGAGAGGGGCAATGAATGCCAGGACCAGGAGCTTCCCAACCAGGGTCTCCTCACACCCCAGGGTGACCTTGTATCAGGCAGGACAGAAAGCAGGAGCAGCCGCTGAGCTGTGGCGCTGGCAAGAGTGACCCTTGCTTGGATAATAGATCCTGAGGCTTCTCCGTTTAGACACTCAGCTCAGGAATTCACACGTCAGATGGCATGGGGGAGGAGGATCCTGTAGCCCCTCTGTGAGACAGCCTACCTCCTTCCTGCCCTCTGCACACCTGGCCCTCCTCTCATCTGGTCTCCCTCCCACTTGGCGCCCCTCCCACCTGGCTCTCCACTACCTGTTCCTCCTCCCACCTGGCTCTCCCCTCACCTGGCCCTCCTTCCGCCTGGTCCTTCCCCCACCTGTTTCTTCTCCCATCTGGCCTTCCCACTGCCTGTCCTTCCTCCCACCTGGCCCTCCCTTTACCTGTTCCTTCTCCCTCCCACCAACAAGCAAGGTGAACAGTGCTGCTTCTTCACTCTCCCAGACCCACCTGGCCCTGGACTGCTCCGTACCGGCACAAGCTCATTAACCTCTTGGTCCCCTGAGTCAGCCAGGCCAGTTTAGCTTTATCACCATCCTGCAAGCCTGGGACTCAGGCCAGGGCAGCGGAAGGTCTTGGCCAGGGCCCCGCAGGCAGTGGAGGAGGAGGAGGAGGAGGAAGCTGTGAGCTGTGACAAGGGCCAAGCTCATCAAAGCAAGCCCTGTGTTTCCTCCTCCCTCCTCCCTCCTCCCCATCCCCGTTCCCACCATGTGGCAATCAGGGCTCCTCCAAACACACGCTGAGAGCGATAGCACGTCTCGCTGGCTATTAATTAAAAAAATAAGTGGGGAACAGTTGCTGTTCATTTGCTCAGCTCCCTGCTCACAGAACCATTGCAGATTACCAGTGCTAATTAACAGAGGGCATGTGCACGCGGGAATGCACCATTTTATGAGCGGCTGATCCGTGGCGACCTGCGCTGCAATCAGCCCCAGAGGGTGTCAGGAAGCCATTCCAAAGGGTGGCCGTTTATTGATGGCGTCCACGCAGACTCTCAGAGCTGATAGTCTACCCGGGAAGGAGGCAGGCGTTAAAATCAATGAAGGAGAGAAACAGGCACTGACGGAGTGCACCAGGACCAGGGTTCATGATGAGGCCTCTTGGGTGTTGATATCTTCCTTAACCTGTGACAGGATTATCATACAGATGGTGTCATCTCCTCTTCCCTGACCAGGCTGAGGGATGTCAAGTGATTTGTCCAAGGCCATGGGGCCATGTTGCCTACTGTCTTAGTCTGCTTGGGCTGCCATAGCAAAGAACCACAGACTGGGTGGCTGCACCAACAGAGATTTATTTTCTCCCCATTCTGGAGCCTGGAAGTCCAAGATCAAGGTGTTGGCAGGTTTGGTTTCTGCTGACTGCCCTCTCGTGTGGCCTCACTTGGTCTTTTCTGTGTGCATGCATCTCTGGTGTGGCTCTGCGTGTCCACGTTTCCTCCTCTTATGAGGACACCAGTCAGACACCAGGGCCCACCCTCATGGCCCACCCTCATTTGACTTTAATCACCTATTTAAAGGCTCTATCTGCACATACAGTCACATTCTGAGGTGGGGGAGAGGGGTTCAACCGTTCAGCCCTGGCACTACCCCAGTTCTGCAAGTGTCATGACATGCCTCTGGGACCGGAACACTGGGCAGCAGGAGAGGTGTGCATGTTCAGGCAGAATCTGATGCTTTTTAAACATTTTTATTTATTTGCAAACCCTTGCACAGAATCCAAAGTGCCAGGGCACACAGTAACTGTATTCTAAACGCTTTATGAACTCATTTTGTCTTTGTAATAACCATAGGTAGTGGGTGCTATTCTTATCCTCATTGTACAGATGGAGAAACTGGGACCCTGAAAGTTAAATAACTTGCTGGAAGGCCGCACAGCAGCGGTCCAGCTGAATTCAAGCCTGTTATGTTTTCATCCTTTGGTGTTATTTTTCTCTTCTTTAAGGACAAACAGAGAATGAGAGAGGATGAGATCAAAGATGCCATCTACGTGACCATGGAAATCCTGTCCAACTGGGGCAACCCGTCGTGGGTGGGGCTTTCAGAAGTCGAGTTCTTTGACCTGAACGACACAAAGCTTTATGTGTCGCCCCATGATGTGGACGTCCGGAACACAGAAGCACCCGGGGAGCTGGGCCACCTCGTCATCAGGAACTTAGCTGTAAGTGGAGGGGGCTCTGGATTGGCCTTTGCTGGGTATTTCGATCCATACTCTCTGCCCTTGATGAGTCTGTGATAAGGTAGAGGGTAGTAAGAATCATCTGATCTTCTACAGTCCTTTATTTGGGCAGAGCAGGGGAGGAGACTGAGGGAAGGGACCAGGGAGGCCGTCACACTGCCTCTCCCTGAGCTCATTCCCAGGGCCCAGCTCTAGGCATTTGTGGAGGGGGCCTTTGATCCACCTTGGAATTTACCACAATCACCACCAAACACAGGACCTTAAGGGTCGCCAAGGTCAGTACCCTCATTTTGTAGACGAAGAAACTGGGACTTGGAGAAGGTCATTGACTTGGCCAAGGTCATACAGCAGGAAGATAGAGGAGCCAAGTTCACATCCTGCAGCCTGGCCCAGGGCCCATACCACACCCTCTCAGGGTTCTGCTTTCCTAGGCCATGGGGGCACACCCCACAAATATTGAATATTCTTTCCTTTCAATATCTGACAGAGTTTAAAAAGAAAAAAAATGGCGGGGTGTGGTGACTCATGCCTGTAATCCCAGAACTTTGGGAGGCCAAGGCAAGAGATTTCTCAAACCCTGAGTTTTGAGACCCAAATCCTAAGTTTTGAGTTCAAGACCAGCCTGGGCAACATAGCAAGACCCTCATCTCTACAAAATATAGAAAAATTAGCTGAATTAACGCCTGTAGTCCCAGCTACTCAGGAGGCTGAGGAGGAAGGCTCACCTGAGTCTATCTAGGAGGTCAAGGCTGCGGTTAGCCATGATTGTGTGCCGGTGCACTCCAGCCTGGGCAACAGAGTGAACCCTGTCTAAAAAAGAAAAGTAAAGAAAAAACAAGGAAAAAAAAAGACGCTAGCATTTTTTTTTCCCAGCCACCTGCCAGTGGGACACAAGGGACTGAGTTCAACTGAGCCAGAATTACCAACCACACAGTCTCTCCAATGCTGCACCTTCGGCATCATTCATGATCCCTGGTACCTGAGAAACAGGGAGCAGAGATTGTCCCTGGGCCAGGGTGACTGGGCAGGGGCCAGGGGCAAGAGGAAGACTTCTCCTCTTCTGTGCAGTTTAAATTTCCTGCCACGTATGTGTATTGTCTGTTCCAAAAACCAAATTATTAATTTGCTTAAAAGTATTGAAAATGAAACCAGCCACCATGCGTTGAGTCCTTGGGTTGTGCCAGGCATGGTGCTAAGTCCTTCAGGCGTCATTTGATTTATACTTATCTGCACAGGCTCGAGAAGCAGAAAGATCAGGCTCAAAGATTGCCATGGATGTCTTCCTGACCACAGGCTACTCACTTAACCTCTACTTTAGTTTCATCATCTGTTAAATGGAGATAAGAATCGGTCTTGCCCTGATGTGCGGCTATAAGGATCATGCCTGGCTCTTCCTAAAGGCTCCAAAACATCAGCTGTTATTGTTTTCACTGTATTTATTATTTGAGACAGGATCTTGCTCTGCTGTCTGGGCTGAAATGAAGTGGTGTGATCATAGCTCACTGTAACTTCAAACTCCAGGTCTTAAGCAATCCTCCTGCCTCAGCCTCCTGAGGAGCTAGGACTACAGGCAGGTGCCACCACGCCTGTCTAATTTTTTTTTTTTTTGGTAGTGAATGGGTCTTACTATGTTGCCCAGGCTGGGTATATTTATTATAAATGGTATTAACAACATTAAGAAGTAGATGTTATTATTCTTGTTTTAAAGAAGAGGAAACAAGAAAGCGGGTCTTTGAAATCCCCAGTTCTAGAAACTTGGATTCTGGTCTTGACTCTGTGGCCTTGGGCAACTCATCTGCCTTCTCTGAGAGTCATTCTGCCCCCTGTAAATTGGGAAGTGGGGGTAGATCATCTGTTGTGTGCTTTGGCTGCCAGCAACAGAAACTTGGGCTGGCTCACTTTTTTTTTTTGAATTGGAGTCTTACTCTTTCACCCAGACTGGAGTACGCGGCATGATCACGGCTCACCACAGCATTAACCAGGTCTCAAGGCAATCTTCCTGCCTTAGCCTCCTAAGTAGCTGGGACTACAGGTGCACGCCACCATGCCTGACTCATTTTTTAATTTTCTGTAGAGATGAAGTCTTGCTATGTTGCCCAGGCTGATCAAACTTCTGGGCTCAAGATATCCTCTTGCCTTGGCCTCCCAAAGTGCTGGGATTACAGTTGTGAGCCATTGGGCCCAGCCTGGCATATTTTTTTTTTAAATGTGTTCCAAGTCTTTTGATAGCTGGTATACTCGCTTGTCACCCAGGCCTCATGGTCATGTTAAAGTACCAGTAGCTTGCTGGGACACTTGAGCCCTGAGAATCTGGTCTTATATTTGGAGTGGGAGGGATGAACAGGAGGCTGTGAGAATCTGCTAGAAAGATTCTTCTCTTGGACTTGAGGTTCTGGGGGAAATTACTGATTTGGCCTTTGGGTAGAGTGGTCACCTTCCATGGCAACAGCAGTCATGACTAGCCTATGTCCTTAGACTGGGACGTGCCTCATGGCCGTGGGCTCCTTTCAGAAAAGGGAAGAAAATGAGGAGGGGAGATAAAGCTCGTTAACGTATTTCATGCCACCATCATTTATTGAGATATTTTGGCAGTGCTGGTTGGCTGGTGGCTTTGTCCTTGTGTGGCTGTGCTGTAAATATCCAGTCCCAGGAGAGGACGCTGATGGACCCACCTGGCTCAGAGAGCAGGGCACCTTGGTGCCGTTTCCCCCAAGATGCCCCAGAGGGGCAGGGAGGGATCCTCCCTGAATAAAACTCAAGATAACTACTAAAAGAAAGGAGGGCTAGGTGCCAGCTAGCCAAGAAACAACACTGTCCTCGGCGAGCTCTATGAGTCTGACCTTTTAAAGAAGCAGGCCTGTGGGAAAGGCTGCTTGGATGCTCTGGCCTTTCTCGACCCTGCTTGGGCTTCAGATTTGCACCTGCAGGCTCCGCTGCTTGCTGCTGGGCTTGGGCCAGCCCTTGCCGCCCTGCCCCCGTCCCCCTTGTGCAAAAGGCAGGGGCCTTCTGGAAGCCTGCTCTATAGAACACTGTACATTGGGGTGATATAAAGTGTCATTGGGTTTGATGAGAACCGATCCTGAAGACTATTGCTCCCTTTCCTCTGCTTAGCAGGGGCCGGGAGCTCAGCCATTGTGGTTTTGGGGTTTTTTATGTTTTGGCCCTGAGACTGGGGCGTGAAGCAGCGGTGTCACCCCAGGCTGGATTCCCCTGCCTCTCTGGCACGGGGTCTCCCTCCCTGATGGCTGGGGCTACCAGAACATGCTGCCCCTCAGAACCATCTGATTTCCCTGGTGTTATCTGGCCCTAGTCCGGAGCATCACCCCATTTAACTGCCACATGAACCTGGGATGATGCACTCCTTTTCTTTTCTTTTCTTTTTTGAGTGGGAGTCTCACTTCATCACCCAGACTGGAGTATAGTGGCACACTCATGGCCATCGCAGCCTCGACCTACTAGGCTCAGGTGATCCTTCCACCTCAGCCTTTCAAGTAGCTGGAACCACAGGCACACACCACCACACCTGGCCAATTTTTTTTTTTTTTTTTAGAGACAAGGTCTTACCAACTTGCCCAGGCTGGTCTCGAACCCCTGGACTCAGGCAATCCTCTTGCCTCTACCTCCCAAAGTGCTGGGATTACAGACATGAGCCACCACACCCGGCCTATGCTCCCATTTTCTAAATGAAAAGGCCAAGTCTCAGGAATCAGAGGCTCCTGGAAGTGAAGGCTGGGTTTGAAAATGCTTCACTGGAAGTGGATTGTAGGTGAGGGAGGGCTCCAGGCTCCACACAACACCCCTTCTGCACCCACACCACCGCCTTACTGGCCGCACCCTGGCTGTGACCCCAAGATGACTTCACATGTACACCCAGTCCTGTCCACTCCCAAGTTCCTGCCAGGAATGTCAGCTTCCTGCTTGACGCCTCCGCTTGTATGTCGGCTGGCCACCTCAGACTTCAGAGACCCAGACCCTGAGTTTTGATTTCCCTGCCCACTCCCAGTGTTTCTTGCCCAGTTACCAGCATCACCGTCTGCTCAGATGCCTGAGCCTACCACTTAGAGTCTTTCTTGATCATCCTAGGAAATCTATAAGTAAATAAATCTATGATTATAAATCTGTGATTTCCTGGGAGTCTAGCATTGCTTCCAAATAAAAAGTTTAAAATTATGTGCCGCACACCTTTATGTCCTGGGGGTACAGAGTGAGCAGGCCCCGGTTGCCACCACCTGCCAGCACACCAGCATGTCCCGGTGCTTCTGACCCAAGGAGAGCCTGAATCCGGCCCTTCTCCGGTCGCCCTGGCGCCTCCCCAGCTCCGCTGTCTGTTTCCTCTCGCTTAGACTATTCGGTAGGCTCCATTCCTACTTTCTGCTTCTGTCTTGGTCCAGTCCACTTCAATTTCTACTCTGTATTCAAAGTGATCTTTTAAAAATATCAGATTGTGCCCTTCCCCTCCTGAAAACCGTGGCCGTTGCCCTTGGGAATAAAGCCCAGGTCCCTCCTGTGGCCCAGAGGCTCTCTGGAGGCAGGCTCCCAACAACTCTCTGCCCTCTTCGCACCTGCTCTGTCCTCCACGAGATCCAGCAGCCACAGGCCTGCCTTCCACCTCAAATCCACCAAACTCATTCCCACGTCTCCAAAACGTCCCCCTCCGGATTTTCAAGTGGCTTCTCGCACTCAGGTCTCAGTCCAGAAATCGTTTTCTCAGCAAGACTCCCCTGACCCGACAACTTGGAGGAGTCTTCTCCCCCCGACTCCAGTCACTCTCATGCCATCATTTTACATCTCTTCAGAGCACATTTCACTATAAGAAATGGTCTTATCTACACGTGTATTATTTCTCTCCCATCTAGCCGATATATTCTTGTCTGTCCTATTCATACTATGTCCCCAGTACTTAAAAGTGTGCAATACATATTTTTGCTTGTTTAAACAGAAACATAGTGTACATTATTTTTGTTTAAAAGATATTTTTAAAC